ATATATATAACAAAAAAAATTATATTTTTTCTCTCTCTCTCTCTCTCTCTCTCTCTCTCTCTCTCTCTCTCTGTGTCTAATTTTGATTGAATCATATCGATAAAACAATAAATTTAAGCTTGTTGTTATTTGATATACATTTGTATTATGCTAACCATCAATGATGATGATGACAGATAGAAATTCCAATAAAATGTGTGTTCAAATTTCTGTTGTGATTGCAAATTTTGAAAATCCCTTTAGTATTTGAAAATAAGAACAAAACAAAACAAAAAAAAAAGGAAATCTATCAAATCGAAAAACAAAACAAAAACTTTGATGATTTTATCCTCGAAAAATAAAACCCAAAATAGAAAAATGTCCCATAGGATGCTTTGTTTGGTTCAAGATGATCGAAATTGATGAAAAAATTTCTTTTCTTCTTGGCTTTTTTCTGGAACTATTTTGGCTTTGGAGATTCACAATTCTGTGTTTGTAGTAACGAGGATAAGCAATAATTTCATAATGAAAAAGAAGAATTTCTTATTAAATTTCTTACCAAAAACTCCAAACCTCAGTAAGAAAGAAAGAAAGGAAAATTGGAAAAATGCTTTCTCAATAAAATGATTGCTGTTGTTGTCGTTGTTTTCTTTTCAATTTAATTTCCAATTAGTTTTTCGATTGAACTTTTTCATTTTTCACGAAACAATGATTTAATCATTATCATCATCCTCATTATCAGTAGATTGGAATCAATAATGGAATTGTGTGTTTGTATACGGATTGTCCAGGTAAATTTTTTTTCTATTTGTCATCAATGTCAAACAAACCAAACAAACGATGAAAGAATTGATAATAATGGAGATGTGGAACAAACAGCAAACAACTCAATAAAAAAAGAAAATAAACATACACCCAATAAAACTCATTAAGGTCAAATTGATGATGATGATCGAATAGAAAAACAAATACAAACAGACAAAGCGAAACAAAACAAACAAAAAACATATCAAATGAAAATTGATCACCAGGAATCGAAATAAATGTCCGATTTTGTTGTTTTTGTTTTGCTTTTGTTACCCGAATTCCAATTTACGAATACCAGAATTTGTTTTGCTTTGGCTATCAACGAATTCGTTATATTTTCATTATTCTTTTCTCACATAAATTCTCTCTATTCTCTGGACAGAACAGAACTGAGAAAAGAAGAAAAGAAGAAAAACTGGAACAAATTGACGATCAAACAAAAAAAAAATCGATTCCTATAGACAATTTGATTGTGTGTGTGTGTGTGTGCGATATGGCTTTCAAAATCGAAATGAAAAATTTGGCAGTTTCAGTAAACGTAAATCGATATATCAATTTCATTTTGGACAATAATTCTCTTTTCTATTTGGTTACAAATGACAGAATAGTAAAAACTTAAAATGATATGACATGATGATAACTCCCAATGTTTGAGAAAAAGAAACTGAAGAAAAACAGAATTGAAATTTGGACAACAAAAAAAGCCATAAATGACAACGGTGGTTTGATGAGGAAAATTTTTAAAGATTGTAATGGTCATCGATGTCATCTTCTTGTTTGTACTTGATTATCATATGAAATGAATGAATTCTTCTTCTTTTCTTTTCCTGACCAAACAATAGAATTATCAGAAAATTTGCTGAAAAGCTGTGAAAGTTTTCTTCTTTTTTTTTTGCTTGTCCCACTTATCGATTTTAAACAATTGATCAATCGATCGAACGATCGATCGATTTTCAATCGGTTTTCAATCAAAATTATAAAAAAAGAAACTCATTCGAAATGGAAACAATCTTATCTTCGATGTGACATGTTGAACAATTGAATTGCCAAAAAATTTTAAATTCTTTAACCCAAGAATCGCATTTGACAGTTCCATATTGAAACAAAATAATGAATGAATGAATTGAAAATAATCTTTGTTGACATTAAACAGAATGAATTGAATTGAAAAAACCTTAAAATTTCCTTTTCCATTTTCATTTTCCATTCAAACAGAAAAAATTCTTATGATTTAATGAAAAATGTGAAAAGTTTTTTCAATGTATTTTCAATGTCAGTGTTTTATCACATTTTTCACTTTCATTTTGAAAAAATCCAAAAATCATTTAATTATTATCAAATAAAGCAAACATTTTTGTTTTGTCAAGCAAAAGAAGAAGAAAATTCATTTAATATATTCAGTTTTTTTTCTGATAATGAAATTCTTTGTCGTTGATGATGTGTTATCGTCAAGACAATGTGTGTGTGTCTGATGAAAATTAAAATGGAAAACTTTTTTTTTGTTTTGTTTTGGCTTCATTCAAGCGCAAACATGCCTGATTTAAATTCAATTCAATTTTTATTTTGAAAATTCTGTTCCAAAGTTTTCGAAAATTGATGAAATTTTTTTTGAAAAAAATCGACATGATCGCCATCTGTACTTAACGAATGGAATTTCAATTGATTTTAAAATTTTTCAATGTTTTTTTGGATATCATTGAGGATTATCAACTGGGCAAATAGGATTTGTTGTCGCTGTCTTGTTTTTTCGTTGTAACTATAGTTGATATGGTAATTAATCCATTTAATCTTTGCAAAAATGAAAAAAACGTTATAATTTTCTGTTGTAAATGAAAATGAAAATCATCAAACTCCAAGGAATTCCAGCATTTTACAAACAAAACGCAATTTTTGATGATGAAAAAATTATTTTGCTCAATATTTATTGTCGATCTTGGTAATGGACAAAATCTAAATTCTCGAATGATATATTTTAAGGTAAGTCTTCATGTAAACAACAAAACTCATAACACTTACTTTTTTTTCCTGACCAATTTTCAATTCTCGATATACAAAGAATGATGGAACAAGATTTCAACAGGAAGGAACAACAACAACAAATCCCTGTTCATCAACAACATTAAAATTATCGAATCAGAATAGATATCGTTTTCGAATTGTATTGAAATCGATTCCATCAACAATCAGGTTTGTATTGATTTTTTTTCCATTGATTTTTCAATGAAAAAATTCAATTTAAATTTAGTGCTGTTCGAATCAATGATCAGCAAATATCATATGAATCCCATCAACAAGAAAATAATGCTGAATTATCATTTGAAATGGATATGAAACAAATAAACCATATTGATCATAATCATAATCATAATGGTCATCGAATACGTTTAACAATACATATTGATTTTAGCGATTATCATCATTTGAATATTGATATTCAGGTTAAATTATACAACCAGAATGATTCACATCTTACATGGGGACAAATATTTCGTTCAATGATGGCCGAAGCAGAGCTATTAACAACAACAACAACAATGAATGAACAAAATTATATAATAACAAGGATGAATTTTTTATCAATTTAAAAAATTACAAAAAAAATTACAAAAATTGATCGATAGATGGCGCTTGTAGTAATCAAATTTATAAAAATTTATTTGAATTTAAATTGATAAATAAATGTTGCAACAAAATCCTGATTTGACTTTTTGATATCAAAGTTTCTGATTTTTTTTTCTTCTTAATAATTTTCTATTTTTGAATTCACAATTCATCTTTTCTAGTTCTCCAAGTAAGTAAGTAAGCTGTAGCAACAAAGAAGAAAGAAGAAAAACTTTTCAATTATCATCATACACTGATCATCCACTGATTTATCGGATCGAAACATTGGATGGCCATTATCAAACCTAGAAAAAGAAAAAAATGAAAAAAAAAGATAAGACCTTTTCGTTAACCATTCAGCAAACAACAACGGTATTTTTCTTTCTTTTCGTCCATCTATTATCATCATCAATTTTAATCGACTTTTCATTCATTCATTTCATCTTTATTCGCAATTTATAGCTTTCCAACAACGAAAAAAAATCATTCCCAATCAATCGATCAGTGAAAAAGAAGAAAAATAATAGCTGAAAATTACGCAATATCAAACCAATGGTCAAACCAATGGATATTTATATTATTTGGTGGTGGTCATTATCATCATCATCATTGTTTGATGTTCATGAAATAAATTATATCTAACTATAGCTAAATACATGCAGTAATCATCATCATCATTGATTCAAAGTCGGTGAAAGAAAAGATGCTACTTTCATTTTTCTCATTAGAAAGATGCTACGGGTGGCAATAATAATAATAACACCGAAAAAAAAACGAAAATCTCTAAAATATGATGATAATCGAATGATAATCATGACCACCACCACCAAATAAAATCACGAAAATCCAATAATAATAGCTGTGTTAAAATTAAACTAAAGTAATAATAATCTAGGTCGAAATAGGCGAAAAACGAAACAAAAAAACGATGGTTATTAATCTTGATTATCTATAGATAGAGATTTAGTTTAAAAAAATTTTCTTCTATAAACACACAATGATGATACACATTGAAACACATCAATGTTTTCTGTTGTTTTTTGGCAAACACCCAACAACAACAACAACAACAAAAATATCAAGCAGCTTTTTATATTAGTTTTTTTTCCTGTCTGGTGATGTAACAAAAACCGAAAAATCAAAAAAAAAACCGAAAGAAAGAATTACAAACAAACAAATTAAACCGGAACATACGATCATCATCACAATGGACAATGGTCATCAAATTCATTTTCGTGTGTCAGTTTGGTTTTAGGTTAGGTTAAGGATGATTTAATAAAAGACCAGATATTAAAAAAAACCCAGAAAAAAATGAATAATTAATGTTTGTATTTAGCCAATTAGCATACAAATGTTTTATTGTGTGTGTGCGTGTGTGTGTTTAGGCCATCTATACATAGATTATTGAATATTAAAATGAAATCATAAAAAAACTAACCGACTAAAAATAGTTGATGTTTTTTGTTTTGTTTTTGGTTTGTTTCTGGAATAATGATTTCTTGTTAGTAAACTATTTTTACATTCAGTTCATAATCATAATTTTTCTTCGAAAGAATTTTTCCAGAAAAGTTTGAAAAAACGGGAAAAATTTTCTTCTCCGAAAGAATTTTCTTTTTCTATAGAATTTTTGAACTTTTTTCAATTGAAATTTCTTTATTAAATTTTTCTTTTCTTTTCTTTTCTTCAAATTGCTGATATGTTTTACCGATCAATGATTGATTAATAGATTAGTCGTCGTCGTCAATGATGATGGAATGTGAAAAAAACTACCTAAATAATTAATCAAATAAGCAATTACGTAATCATCATCATCATCATCATCATTCGCAATAATCATTTATCATTAATGTGTTCAAACGATATACTAGCTTGATATCATTCAGCAGTACTGACCAAAACATCCATTTATATTTGGATTCGTTTTCTTCAACTAATTTTTTTTTTGATTAAAAAAATCCAAATCCAAATAATACAGATAAATAAATAATGAAAATTACAAAATTCAATTTAATTTTTGAAAATTACAAAAAAAAAAAAAACTAAATGATGATGATGCCAAAGCCTTGATTGAAAAGTTGTCATACAATTGATGATGATCATCATCATTCTGGATTGATTTTCATCACCATTTTGTTTTTGTTTTTGTTTTTCATTTGAAAATGATTCCCCCCCAAAAAAACGTTGTCGACATCAATATCATCATTTTGGACAAATTTTTTTTCATTTTTTTTTCATTGACAAACAACAATACAAAGCAAAGCATTGTGTCAGACGCGATGACAATAATGAAATCGAGACACACACACACAGATATTACCTAACTTTATCACTTTCACATTCACAGATTGACATACAAAATGGCCATTTTCATTTGATTTCGAGACACAGTTTGAAAAAAAGTTTGAAAATAAAACCGCCCTGTATCTGTGCTGTATATACAAATAGTGCAATGAGAGTGAGATCAAGATCAAGGAAAAAAAAATTTCTTAAGAAAAATGTCATAGAAAAAACATTTTTCTGTTCAAAAAAGGTAATGAAAGTGTTATGTCACCATCATCATCATCTAGGTCGATAAAAAGGATTAAATAATTCAATTCAACAAATGTGTGCGTGTTGTGACAATCAATAGACATTTATATCGATTGAATCGAGATCGATATTTCTTTTTGAAAATATACATTAATGACGGGAACACAGAAAAAAAAACATTATGGATTATCATTGTGATCAACAATGTCATTATCAATGAACAATGTTTTGATTGTTTCATTATCATCATCATCATCTTCATAATTTCATAATTCAAGCAACAAAAAAAAGAGCATGGCAATCATAAAGAATATTTCCCGAAAAAGAAGAAAAACTTTTCAAGAAATTTTTTGTAAAAATAGATTAAAAACAAGAGTAACAAACTTATAGCCCATGTTGTAAGGGAAAATAAAAATGTTAATTATCATTATATTGTAGTTACAATAATAATCATTATCATTTCATGTAATTATGGTAATGATGATAATAATATTGTTCCCAAAAATAAATCTCATAACACATATAGACGCACACAGACAAATGACATCCGATAACAACAACAACAATCGTCGTTGATTGACTGTCAATTTTTCGTTTTGATGAATCTAAATTTATCATCAATGGATTCAATACTTTACTTTTTCTTTGAATATGTACAGCACCCATGTTTTTGTTTTTCAGAAAATAAAAAGACAAGGCAAGTATACAAGTAGTTCGTTGTTGTTGATCGCTTTATCTAATGAAAAAGAAATGAATGAATTTTACACATTTTACAAAGATCAAGGTCTGTTCATTGATGGATGGAATAGAATGGAATGATGGAAAAGCACAGTTTTTTGTTTCAATTAAGCTTTGAACCTTGATCAATTCATCCATCAATCAATCAATCAATCAACTGTCAGTGTATAACGGTTTTTTTTGTTGTTGTTGTTGTTTTATGGGTGCTATTTCAACAACAACAACCAAAAAAAATGACCATCATGTCAGGTGTAACACCAATAACAATGACAATCGAATTGAAAAAAAACTAGAACAAATGTTTCAAACACGAAAAAACAAAATGAAAATAAAAAAAACATGGCGCCAGAGTATGCGCTTGGTATTCTCATTCTTATATATTTTGTATAGAAGAAAAAATAAGTGTAACAAGCGAACAAACAAACAAACAAGGCGGCCCAATTTTTTTTTTGAATTGTTGGATAATAATGATGATATGATGGCTGCCATAGGTTTTTTTTGTTTTTTGTTTTGTTCAATTGAATTTGTTGAGTTTTTTTTCAGAAACAACAACAACAACAACAGAAAACATGTTGGATGTTGGCCGGTATATTTGAAACGAAACAGAAAACAAAATGAAATGAAAGAGAAAATTGTCAGTCAGTTTGCGTGTGCAAGAGAGAGATAGAGAAAGCGAAGAAATAACGTAAAAAAAGAGAGTAAAGCAGGTAAGAAAATGATTTTCTTCTTCAAAATCATCAAATCAACAGTTCGGTGAGGATAGAAAGGATCTTTTCGTTGTTGTTTGATTATAATTTCGATTTTTGCTTGCTTTTTTTGGTTTTTTGAAAACATTATTACGGCGCCAATCTGGTTTTTTTTGCATGGTAAAAATATTCAAAGTGTTTTGGTTGAATTGAAGAATTTTTGTTTTGTTTCATGATCTTCATGATGTTTCTTGTGAATCGAAAAGAATCGTGTCATATCATCCTGATGACCATAATTTCATTTTAAACAATTGAAAACAAAAAGTGCGAACAACACCAATTTGTCGTGATTTTTTGGAAAAACTGAAACCTGAAAATTTTGTGAAATTTTGTTGTGTTTTGTTAACACCTGTTGTTGTTGTTAAATGAAATTGAAATTGATATCAAAATTATTTGAAAAATTTTTCATATGTTTTAAAGAATCCAAAAAGGATCCTCTTCACCTGGATCTATTTTTCATCTGAGACACCTATTGTCACCATGTGTGTGTGTATGTGTTACCTCATCATTGACCTCATATCAGTTGAAACAAATGATGATTATCATTATCATTGAGTACAAAATCACCAAAGAAAAGAAAGAAAATTCATCATAAGAATTGTATTCAATTTTTTCTTATTTATTTTTTGGGGGATAAACTTTTTTTTTGCAACAGAAAAATGCTGTTAAAGAAACCAACCAAAAAATATATCTAAAAATAAAACAACAATAAGATTTCCAATCAATCGATAATGATTATTATCGTCAGAAAAAAGAAAGAAAAAATCGATTGATAAACTTATCATTATTAACCACCATCAACATAGACAGATTTTATCAAATTTTGATTACTTGTCACAATATATATTGATTGGATATCGAGTATACTACTTGATTAGTAAATGATTTTTTTTTGTATACATGATTTAGAAGGAGAAAAATCATTAATGAAACTTAACCAACAACAACAAACAGAAAAAAACAACTTGAAAAATTTTAATCTAAAATTACATTTGTTAAATGATAATTTCCAGATAAACAAAAAGAAAAAAACATTTCGTTTTTTTCCGCAATGATAATTGTGTTTGATTCTTTTGATCTCTCATGACATTGATTGATTGATTGATTGAATTCATCATTAAATGGGTAAAAATTCAACCATTAATGTCATGTCATCAACAACATTGTATTTGAATTACGGAAAACAATCAAAAACAGCATTTCCCAATAGATCATCGTCATCGATTTGTCCACAATCATTATCATCATCATCTAGCACTGCCACATCATCATTTTTGCATCAACAAAATTCTCATCATCATCATCATCAATATCGTTCGAATCAATTGATAATCAAACCAATCATTAAATCATCATCAACAAATTCTGTATGGAATAACTACAATAATCAACAACAACAACAACAACAAAAGAAACCTAAACAGAATCATAATCGAAATTCATTTCAAACGACACAATCATCAACAGCATTCAACAGAATCATTCGACAATCAAAACCACAGCAGCAGCAGCAAAATCAGAAAACATTTCCATCATCATCATCATCATTGATGATGATTCTGAAAAATTCCGAGCAAAAACCATTAAATTGTAATAATAATTATCGATCTAAATATCAACAACAACAACCGAAACCAAAACCAATCGTTCGATCAACAACAACAAATCATCACAAATCTTATTCCTTCAATAATAACAACAGCCAAAATCAAATGTTTAATAGAATGAAAAAAGGTGTCGAAAGTAATGATGATTTTATGATCAATTCAATGATGATCAATAATCAACAAACATCTGAAAATAATGAAATGAATAATCACGTGACCACCACCACCATGAATGATGGCAAAATCGATACATTATTAGATCGTAAAGCATTTATTAGTTTAGAAAAAAGTATCAATTGGCAATCATTATTGGCTAATCATAATTATAATAATAATAAAGATGACCATCAACATAATCAAAGATTGATTATTAATGATAATAATAAATCAGAAATAAACAACAACAACAACAACAACAACGTTAAAAATTATGGAAATGATGAATTTAGTCAACCTGGTATGAAATATGTACCAGCATGGCTTAAATGTAAGTGTTTGTTTTTGGTTTTGTCTGTCTACCTTTTTTTTTCTTCTTTCTCAATCAGATCAGATCAGATCAATCGAATTAGATTTTGAAGGTTAAACCAATTTCTCACAAAATTTAAAAAAGAGCAAAAAATGTTTGATCGGTTGATTGATTGATTGATTGATTGTCAATGTTGATGGGTGAATTTTTGCATCCTTCATTTGAAAAAAAAATGTAAAACATTTCTATGTTCAACATATTCAGAGCAAAAGAAGAAAGAGAAATGGCCGGCATTAAATTCAGCAAAAAGAAAAGGCCCAAGAAGAAGAAGAAGAAGAAAATTTACAATATTGGTCACTATACATACATACATGATTGATCAAATCCAATCAATCACTTTATAATCACTTTCCTGTTTCATCATTTTTCTTTTTTCATCATTCAAAATTGTTCTTGAAAATTTTGAATGAAATTTTCAGTTTATAATCATCATTGTCAATTCGACAACAACAAAGACAAAATATCCGATTATTAGGCGGAAGACGAAAATTCCAATGTTTTTTTTTCCTTGATGCTTGTTTGATGAAATCAAAATCAACAGCAAAATCTTTGTTGTTGTTTTCGAAACAAGCAAGCAATTGGAACACATCACTGAGATTTGAACTTGAACTTGGCTTCGTCGTAGTTTCTTACGAGAAAACAAACATATTATGTAAGAGAAAAAAAGGTGAATACGCAAGCTATAAGCAAGTTTGTTTGTTTGTTTGTTTTTGTGGATTAGTTAACATCCAGTAGCTTGCGTAGCAGTTTCTCTCTCTCTCTCTTCTTTTTTGACTGAAAAAAAAATTTTCTCAGCTTGCGTAAACGTTATCGGACATTCTCATTCGGTTTATCTAATTTATCTTTTTTAGTCAGTTTTTTTCCTCTTTTTCATTTGGTCTTGACATTGAAAATCGGGTCAACAAACAAAATAAACAAACAAACAAACAAGCAAAAGTCCTTCAAAACAAAAAAGTTGTTCCAAAAACAACTGTTTTTTTTTTTTTTTTTTTGGAAATTATCAAGCACAAACCGAACATACATACACACGAAAAGTGGACAAGTTCAAAATGATAATTTCATAATTTTTTCATTTGCAAAACTATAGTGAAAAATTACCTGTTTTAAAAATGAAATGAAATGATGCTGATATAATTATCATTATTATTATTCCTGTCATCATCATTTTACAAATTTTTTACAAATTTTTCTATTTTACAAAAATGTCAACAACATTTGTAATTAACAAATTTGAGTTTTTGTATTTTCAGTTTCGAAAGAAAATATCTATATTTGACATTGACAAGATCCGGTTGTTGTTGTTGTTTTAGCCAAGAAACCAAGAAAACATATCTGATAATGAGGACATAAAGGGAATTTTTTTTTTGCTCAATCAATCAATCAATCACATTCGAAAATAAAAGCCCAGTGATAAAGTATGTTGGATAGGAAAAACTTTTCGGAAAACTTTTCTCTCAAATTTCCCCCAGAAAAAAAATATCCAAAAATCCATCAACATCATCATTACTCTCTTGAGGCAATCTCTAACAAATAGATGTTCATCATCCTCAAACAATTCAATCGGATTCAATTCAATTTGAAATTGATTACAGGATTCATTCAGTTTGGATGGATTGTTAGACATTGACCTTTTACGGAATAGACATTTTGTTTAAAAAACATTGTTTCGATCCAAAAAATGATCGACTATGATGACTAAGAGCCCTTGAAAAAAAATGGAAAAAATGGAAAAGATCTACAGTGGAAAACATCTCTTGAAGAAGAATATATGAAGAGAAAAGATGTGCGAAAAAAAAAGGAAAGAGTTTTGAACTTTTTTTCTCACTTTCTTTCTTTTTCACACAAAATTTTTTTACGTTTTTTCCTGAATCCAAAAGCAAAAAAAAATCACCTTGAATTACACATTTTGTAATTTTGTAATTTATATTTGTAAATTAAATACAAATGCAAAATGTGTAATAATCATTATAAAAATAATAATAATGGTTTAATAATAATAATGGTGATCCATTAAAAAGATTTTCGATGATAACTTTTAATTGAATTACCGCATATCAAATAATTAATATTTTTTTTTGTAGCAAATAAAATAGATTCGTTGCAGCCAACACACAAAACAAACAAACAAACACACACAGAATTTCAATTCTACGAATGGATAAGATAAACCGTCAATATTATTTCAGTGTTTGGTTATTTTCAGCTTTTTGAATGACAGGCAAGAAATGAAAATGATGACCAAAAATAAACACACATATAATTTCTATTGACCATTCGAATGAATGAATGAATGAATGAATGAATGATAACAATGTAATCGAAGAAATTCATTGGAAAAAAAAAACGAAAATTTTTGGTCAATTTTGGTCAATTCAATTCAAACAAACAATTTACAATATCAATAAGTGTAGGCAGACAGGTTATTATTATTATTATGGTGTCAATCAACATAACGGTTTTTCATTTGATATGGATAATATATTTATTTATAATTAAAATTATTACAATAATAATAATAACCGTTTTTCGGGAAAACAACAACAACAACAATATCACGATTGGTTTTGTTACTTTTTGTTGTTGTTGTTGTTGTATTCACTAAATAAACAATTCAATGGGCGATAATGATATAAAAAACCTTCAGAAAAAATAAGTCTATTTTTATTGTAATCAGAAAGTTTCTCGAAAAATGTTTTCCGAAAAACTTTCTTCTTTTGGTTAATATTAGAAACAGTGATATAATGCATATAACAATTGATCGTTTTGCAAATTTTTTTCACAAAAATATTGTGTCATTTAGTAGAAAAAAAATCAATAAATCAATCCTTTCCCGTGAATGAATGAATAATGATTATAATCAAAACATTTGCCGTAGGTATATTTACAACAGTTTATTTTCTATGAGAAAGCTAGGAGAGAGAGAGAGAGAAGATGACAAATACAAAGTTAAATAATATCCATTTCGTTTTTTTTAAAAATATCGCCAAAAAGATACAAATAGAAATTATGTGTGTGTGTGTGTGTGTGTGTGTGTGTGTGTGTAAATCTGTGTTATTATGTTCACACACACACAGAAGCTCCCATTATACAAATCACACAAACAAACGAACAAAACATTCAATCATAAACATCATTTGTCATTTCATTTTGCTTTTCTGACATGTCATTTTTATCTGTTCAGAAAGCAAACAAAAAATCATTATCACCGATTATTATCAATAGATTGCTTAAACGAACGAACAAAAATCAATTATTCTCTGAAATAATAATAATGATTTAAAGATTATAATAATAACATACTGAATGTTTCTTGACATCAAAAGAAAAAAAACGAAAAAAAAAATCATTATCAAGGGGAAAGAAAAAGGGTTAAACTTTGTAACTTTGAGAGTTTTTTTTCTATATTTTGAAATTATTATAAAATACATTTTTTTTTCTTTCTTTAATTCGGTTGGTACTCGAATAACATTGTTGTTGTTGTTGTTGGCTTGTAATAATGAAAAGTGTAAAAAAAATTCATTTTGTAACTTGATATTACCTAGACTTTGTTTGTCTCTTTTTTTTCTTTGTTCACCGTTTTTTTTCTTCAATTTTTTGTAAAGAATTTTAAAAATTGAAAAAAATAAAATCCATAATTACTTTTCTCAAACAAAAAAAAAACATGTAACGCGATTCTTTCCTTGTAAAATACTATTTCATCTGATCTGTGATTCGGAAGAAAAGAAAAAAAACTTAATTTTTGTAATTTTTTTATTTTTGTTTGTTTTTACTATCATTTTTCATTCATTTTAATTAAAAAAAAAACATTTCTTTTTTTCTCCCTTTTTTCCAAAATTCTCCCAAACGAACAAACAAAACAAAACAAAAGTATTACGCCTACATAAATATGCATCAATATTTGCATATATGTCATATGATGAAATGATGAATATAACTGAAAATGATTTAGAACAACGTAANTCACACACACACAGAAGCTCCCATTATACAAATCACACAAACAAACGAACAAAACATTCAATCATAAACATCATTTGTCATTTCATTTTGCTTTTCTGACATGTCATTTTTATCTGTTCAGAAAGCAAACAAAAAATCATTATCACCGATTATTATCAATAGATTGTTAAACGAACGAACAGCAAAAATCAATTATTCTCTGTAATAATAATAATAATGATTTAAAGATTATAATAATAACATACTGAATGTTTGTTGACATCAAAAAAAAAAAATCATTATCAAGGGAAAGAAAAAGGGTTAAACTTTGTAATGAGAGAGTTTCTATTTTGAAATTATTATAAAATACATTTTTTTCTACAATCCGATTGGTACTCGAATAACATTGTTGTTGGCGTATAACGATGATCAAAAGTGTGAAAAAAAATTCATTTTGTAACCTGATATTACCTATTGCAAGACTTTGTTTTTTTCTTTGTTCACCGTTTTTTTTTCAATTTTTGTAAAGAATTTTTAAAATTGAAAAACCATAATTACTTTTCTCAAAAATAAGTAACGTGATTCTTCTCTTGTAAAATTCAATTTCATCTGATCTGATTAGAAAAGAAAAATCTTAATTTTTATAATTTTTGTAATTTTGTTTGTTTTCACTATCATTTTTCATTCATTTTAATTAAAAAATCGTTTCTTTTTTTCCCACTTTTTCTACTTCAAAATTCTCCCAAACGAACAAACAAAACAAAACAAAAGTATTACGCCTACATAAATATGCATCAATATTTGCATATATGTCATATGATGAAATGATGAATATAACTGAAAATGATTTAGAACAACGTAATATAACTAAAGGTGCAAGGCAGAAATTATATCTTAGTATACAAAAATTACGTGCAAGATCAGCAGTACTATTATCATCGGAACGTGAATTATTTAATAATCAACGTCATCATCATAATCATCATTATGATCAATGGAAATCAATATCATTACCGGTAATTAGTCAGATTTTATTTCAGATTCGTGCATTTCTTTCAACACCGATTTGTGGTGGTAGTAATAATGGTGGTAATGGTCAGCCATTATCAACAACAACAACAACAACATTATCGTCGATTGTAACCAGTAATAATGATGATCATGGATCATCAATGTCAGTAGATGTTAATAACAATGATAGAATCATTCAACAACCACAAACATCATCATCAATCACCCAGAATATTCTTCTTGATGATGATTATGATGATAATCAAATCAATAATAATAATAATGATTTACCATCAATCATTGTACGATTGATTGGTCATGGTATGTATGATTTTTGATTTGAAAGTTTGTTTTTGTTAACCCTTTATATTCCATAATTAAAAAAAACAGTAATCAATATTTTAATGATAAAATGTCAAAAACAACAACATTTGATGATGAAAAAATTGAAACAAAACCAGAAGAATTGGAAAGAAGAACAAATAAATGATAATGATCAAGATCAAGAACTTAATGGTAAGTTGACCTAATAAATAACTATAGTGATCTTTTAACTAATTTTTTCCGAATTTAGTAAATCATAACCACGATGATGATGATGATGAGATAACGAAGAATATGTTCTCGAATGATGATGATCAAAAGAAAAAACAGATAAAAAAGAAGAAAAAATTGGGTGAAAAACGTAAACGAATTAAAATGGAATTTCAAGATGACGATGATCAAGTTGAAGAAGTGGAAGATGGCGATTATAGTGATAATGATGATAATTTTGTTACCACAGCGATCATCAACGATAATCATCAACAAAAAACATTATTAATCAATAATAATAATGATTTTAATTATAATGAAAATTATTATCAAGATTTATATACAATGATTAAAAGAATAATGGAAAAATGTCTTTTACATGAGGTAAGATTTGATTCGAATGCTTTTTCAATGTAAAATAATCTTTTCTTTGGTTGTTACTGTTAACATAATAGGCATTTATTGATCAGAAAAAGATTCTATCGAATCATTCAAAACAATTGGAATGTTTACGTAAAATTTTTTGTTTAAAATTTGATTATCATCATCAACATATTGACCATCATCATCATCGACCAACAACAACAACAACAACAAAACCATCAACAATAGATGATACTTTATCGATGAATGATTCATCATCAACAACATTACTTCATCAACAACAACAACAACAACAAAAATCTTATAATCATCAACATTCAAGGTATATTTTAAAAAAATCTAAAAAAATCTAAAATTAGATTTACAAACGAAAAAAAGATTTATGATTATAATGTGTGCGTTGAATGGAGAAGAATGGATTGAATTGAAACGAATAACGACGACGAAGATGTGATCATTTCGTTGATGTGATACTTGCTGTTGTTCATTTTGTAATTTCTCATACCGAACATTTCATTTTAATTCATTCAATCTTTTTCTTCTTTTCTGAGATTTACTGTTGTTAAGATTTTGATTTTTTTGATTTTCTGTAGCACACATCATCCAAAAATCATCATCAAAATCTTTATCGGTGGTTATCTGTTTATAACGGTGTTTATAACGGTGTGTTATGATCCGGTTTTTTTTCTTTCTTAGAAAATATTTTTTTGTTGTTATCAATTTTGTTGTTGTTGTTGTTGGTTTGTTGTTGTTGTTTTCTATTGAATCCATACATAAAAAGGATCAACAAAAAATGCTTAATCTTTGATTTGATGCTAACCGAATAATATTTCAAACATTTATTTTTAGATAAATTGTTACGATTAGCCATTGTATTATTATTATTGTGAAATTGATGATTGTGTTTTTTTTTCTTTTGGATATACACAATAAACTTAACAACAACAACAACAACAACAACAAAATGTTTTCAAAAATCAAATCAATCAGAATTAGATTCAAGATAAAAAGAAAGGAAAATCTCTCTGTGTGTGTGTGTGTGTGGGTGTCAGTTTTGACCAATTTTTTTGTTTGTTTGATGGTCATCATAATGGTAATTGGAATAATTTCTTTTCTTTTCTCTCTCTTTTCGCGTATTTGATGATACAGTTATCGATTACCAATGGTTTCAAATCATCTGGCTGATTGTAACAACAACAACAATAAGAATCAACAACAGCAACAGGCAATGAAATCAATGATAAATCGTAATCAACAGCAACAACAACAAAATTACAAGGTAAGGTTGATTTCAATTTGATTATTTTTTTTGCAAATTTTCAATTTTCAATTTCAAATGAATCATAGTATCATGGTGAAATTGGACGACCACCAACAACAACAACAACCGCAAAAACTATTAACAACCCAAGCAATAATAATAATAATAATAATCGCAATCAAAATGACCGCAATCAAAATCATTATCATCATCATTCACAAATGAAATTCAATAATAATTATGAATCGCAAAATCAACAACAAGCAAATCATCATCATTATAACCGAGCAAATAATAATAAACATAATATTTTCAATTGTAATTCGTTGATGATGATGATGAATGGCCAAACGGATTATCATCATCATCATCATCATCTATTAGATCCGGTGATAAAACCAAATTATGGTTCATATGATGGAAGTCAAAGTGAATCTTCATCATCATCATCGTCGTCATCGACTACATCGGAATCATCACCGATATTCAATGATGGTAATGGGAAAAATGGTGGATCATCATTTTATCAATCATCAAATCATGATTATAATTCAAATTCATTATCATTCACTCAACAACAACAACAATCATTGATTACAAATTTTCCTGTGATAAATAATAAAACTGATAATAATAATGATGATGATCAATTGAATATGAAAACAACATCGAATGTTGATATAATAGATCGATCGTTTCGTTCATCACCATCGATAGGTCACAATGGTCATTATTATGGTCAACAACAGTCAAGTTTATTATCATCATCATCATCACCGTTTGATTATGGTAAAGGTCATTATTATTCTAGTTCGAAACGATTATTATCATCATCATCATCATCTAATGGACAACAACAACAACAAAATTATTATTCAGATGTAAAATTATTGAATTTAAAATTATTTTACCTTGTTTTTTGGATTATTAATTTTAATTTTTCTTTTTTTACATTTTCAATGTTTTACAGATATTTAACGATACAGATGAAGATGATGCATTTGTTCTAATGGAATATAATATCGATTGGAATAGTAATTTTTTACAATCAAACAACAACAACAACAATAATAATGATATTTATCGTTCGGAAAGTTTATTCAATAATCAAAATACTGATGATGATTTGGAACGATTAAAATATCGATTTGGAATCGAACATCAACAACAGCGAATGTTTGAATCATCAACAACAACATCAAATGTTACATTTGATGATATTGAAAAACTATCGATACGTATTGCTGAACATGCATTAGAAATTAATGGATAAATTGATTGAATGAAGAATTGTGATATGATAATAGAGAAAAAGAATTCTTAGCATAAAAATGAATTATGTTTTCTTTGATTTTTTTGAATTCCAAATTTTTTTGTTTTTCTGATTCTAATTTTCAAAAATACAACCGAAACACACTTTTTGGCCACATTTATCATTTTGTTTTTTGTTTTTTGTTTATATTCTACCACCACATTTTAAATAAAATTTGAAAATGAAAAAAAATTGGGATTCTTGTTTTGAATTGAAAAAATTAAAAAACTTTTCACATCGGATATGAGAATTTCTCGAACGAAATTCTTTTTGAGTCGTCATCTATGAATAATCCATATATTAAAATGGACATGTGATATCAACAATTCTGATATTCTTTCACAAGTTTCGATGCGAAAAAACAAATGAAAAAATTTTCAAAATTTTAAAAAATGATGATATTTTCAAGACAATTTATTCATTCAATTTTCCGAACGAATAGTTTGAAAATAATTCGACAATCATCAACGACCATCAGACCAACATTATTCGATTTACGAACAACATGGCCAACAACAATTCAATCACAATGTTCTCATCATACATTGATACAAAATCCGTATCCAAAATATGATAATTTCGATTCTAGATCAACGATTAATCTAGTCCAGAGTTAGTATGCTCTTTTCGCATTTTTATTCGGAAATTTATTTTTATTTTTTTGAATCATAGAACGATCAATGTTCATACAGGTAGAAGAAACACCGAATCCAAATAGTTTGAAATTTTTTCCCGGTCGAAAACTTCTTGAAAATGGTACGACCATTGATTTTCCGACACCGATTTCAGCATTAAAACGTTCACCATTAGCTGAAGCTATATTCAAAATCGAAGGTGTTGGATCGGTTTTCTTTGGTTCAGATTATTTAACTGTTACTAAAATCGATGATGATTTTGATTGGAAAATTTTGAAACCAGAAATTTTTGCTGTAATTATGGATTTTTTCTCTACAAATCTACCTATTCTTCGTGAAGGTGTTGAAAAAGATTTAAATCAACAACAACAACAACAATCGGTTGCTGCTACCGGTGGTGATGATGATGAAACGATTGCAATGATTCTCGAATTGATTGATACACGAATCAGGCCTACCGTACAAGAAGATGGTGGTGATATTAAATTCATGGTAAATTCATTAAAGATTTTGGATATTTTTTTTTACAAGAATAAATTTTTCACAATTCTTATCTATAGAGTTTCGAAAACGGTATTGTTCGATTGAAACTTCAAGGTGCCTGTACATCATGTCCATCATCAGTGGTAACATTAAAAAATGGTATACAAAATATGCTGCAATTTTATATTCCCGAAGTTATGTCTGTTGAACAGGTAAATTCAATGAATTTTTTTGTTCTTTTCGAACAAACGAAATTAATTTGATTTAATTATGATCAAAGGTTATGGACGAAACCGAACGTATCAATCATGAAGAATTTGAAAAACTCGAAACTAAATTAGCGGATAATAAATCAAATGAAAATGTTAAATCATGAATCACTTTTTGTGTGTTAATGTTGTTGATCAATGTAAATTTAAATTTGTTTGAAGAAAAAATAAAATTTATTAAAGAGACAAAAATTCTTTTGAGAAATTCCCGTGGAATTCTCTCGTGCGAATGAAGAAAAAACTTTTTGGGAAAAAAGGATTGTTGTTTTGTTTTGTGTGTGTTGTGAGGCTAAATATTCCGAATTTGGATTTTATGTTCGGATTCAATTATTTGACAATTCAATTTTGATTCTTGTTGTTTTATCACTTAAATAATCATCATGGATGAACAAAATTTACAGATAGATCTAATGATTGCTACTTCAGAGCGTTTTCAATCATTGGAATCGAAAATCAATCATCTAACTATTGATTTGGACAAGAAAAATATAGCGTTGAATGATCTTAATTTTCATAATCAAAATCTAATTAAAGGTATGTCTATTCTACTTTCGAATGAATTTATTTTGAAATTTTATTTTCAAACTAATAGAAAACAATGAAATAAAGATTGAATTATCAAATATTCAAAACAATTGTCATACACAGCTTTTGTCAGTAAAAAATTTGTTACAAACAAATCAAAATAATGGAGAAAATAATGATCAAATAATCAATATGATTGATATGATTATCAAGAATACTATGTCATCATCATCATTATCATCCAAAATCCATAATGATGATAATGTTTTCTTCGAAATGATTGAATCAAAATCAAAATTATTTCGTTATGAAAATGAACTACCATGTTTACGTGATAAAAATGAAATTCTTGACACAATGATTCGATCAAAAAATGATTATATAAAAGATTTATTAAAATTTATTGGTGAACAACGTAAACAACATGAAACAATTGTTGAATCATTGGAAAATGAATTAAAAATTCAAAACAAAACCAATGATATGATTCGTCATGAACTTGACAATTCAAAATCTAAATGTCAAACGTTAGAAATCGAATCAGCTGAATCAAAACAACAAATTGCTCATTTATCTGATAGGCTACAAAATTCGGAAAAAAGTCGTCAAAAAATCATTGATGAATATGATCAAAAATATCGAATAAAAACAGATGAATGTAATAGTTTACAGTTGGAAATTGAAAAATTGAATAATGTTTTTGAAAAATCGAAAACCGAAATGTTGGAAAAATATCTGGAAAAATTTTATCCAAATATCGCAATGTTTAGCCAGATATTCGATCGTAATCGTTCGGTTAGTCAACTTTATTCACAATTTTTACGAACGGAAACAATGAATAAGAATTTATTGATTGAAAAAACTGTACTTGAAGATCGTGTACAATCATTAACCAAACAATTGGATGATATGGAACGATCAACCGCAAATCTAATGAATGAAATACAACGTCTAAAACGTATGGAAGATAAAATGTTAAAAATTGAAACCGAAAACAAAGAATTGGCTATTTCTTTAAAATTCTATCAAAACTCGGCACATTTATTGCATAATGGTGCAAAAACATTTCATGATAATTTTCAAAATCTTTCGAATAGGATTAATATCCTTGTCAAACATGAAACAAATCAGATTAATGATCAAGATACTGTTAATAATGGTAATAATGATTCAACCGGTATGATGGCCTTAAAATATGTCATGGAATTGCAGAATAAATTTCAGGAATTTCATCAACTTCAAACAGAATTTGAACGTCAAAAATTGAATTTTATAAATGAAAAACAGAATATTATTGAAAGTGAAAATCGAATCGATTCATTGATGCAACGAATTTCAATGTTGGAAATGGAAAAACAACAATGGCAAGCTACGAATGGTGTATTACAAAGTGAATATGATGTACTACAAAGTCTAATGACAAGTATAAAAACTGAATATCATGAGGAAAAAGGAAAACTTGAACAAACAATCAGTGAATTGGAAATGACAAATAAATCATTACAAGAATCTATTCAAAAATCGAATGATAAACTTAATATGTCGGATGATGAACAAAAAACATTAAAATCAATACGTGATGAATTGGAAAATCGTTTAGATTTGCAATCAAAACAAATGATTTCAATGGAAAAACGTTTAAAATTACAGGTAAAACGATTAGAACAATTGGAAAAATCGGATGATGAATTACGAAAAATAAATGAACAATTAAGGCAATCGAAAGAAATGGTAGAAAAAAATTGGCAAATAATGTCCGAACAAGCTGATGATTATCGACGTCGTTTAATACGAATGGAAACAGAATTGAATGGTTGTGAATCCAAAATGGAATTATGGAAACGTAAACAACAATATTTTCTTGAACGTTTGTCAACATTATATAATGATAGTGAACGTAATGATCGTATGACAATGATTATCCAATCAATGACCGAAAATAAATGTTCGATTGATGATGAATTATTACGATCAATTGAACGAATGAAAATGGAAATAGAAAATCGAAACGAATCATTGGAAACACAACGTCAACAATGGAATGAAGAAAAATTGATTTTCACTGAAAAGATTTTACAATTAGAAAATGATTTACGAAATGAGATTAATCGTAATTTAGAATTGGAAAATCATTTCGTTTCACAACAACAACAACAACCAGTTAAAGATATTATGGCCGAAAGATTTGAAGCATTAACAAAAGAATTAAATGAATTGAAACAAAAAATTTTGACATCTGATCAACAATATCGAAAATTATTGGAAGAAAAGCTGAAAATCGAATCCGAATTTACCGTTGTTAATGATGAAAAATCACAAATTTTGGCCGAATCAAATCAGATAAAACAGAAATTTGAAATGAAAATCGATCAACAACAATCACAGATGCAAAGAGAACTTGAACGTTATAATCAAGATTTGTCCGTTTCACAAACAGTATTGATGGCGAAAAATTCAGCTATTGAATTGTTGGAAAAGAAAATTGAAATGACGGAAAAAACAGTAAAAGAATTGCAAAAAGAATTATCGGATAAAAGTGATGAATGTCAACGATTACAATTACAACGGCAACAATTACGTTCAGCACAAATCGAAACGGAAATATTGCAAACAAAATTACAACGAATGGAACAACAAACAACTGAATGGCTGAAACAAATCGAAGATCAACAAAAAAATTTGATCGAATTAAAAATGCAGAAAACAATACAGGAAAAACGTTATGATGAAAGATTAAATTTGTTACGATCAGATGTGGAACAATTACGATTGGAAAAATTGGATCTAATCCAAGCGAATGAAAAACTTAATCATGATCTTGGCCATTTGATTTGTTCATTTAGTTTGGAAAAAAATCCTACCAAACATATCGATGAAGAAGTAAAAAATGTTATTGAAAATCTAACCGGACAGAATAAATCCCTTTTGAATAAATCGAAAACATTTGAATTACATAGTGAACGATTGCGAAATGAAATAGATTCAATGCGAATGACAATCATTAATCTTGAACAATGTATTCAACGTGAAAAATTAGATTCCGAACAAATGAAACAATTATTACGGAATGAATTTGAACAAAAAACAAAATCCATTGATTTGAATCAAGAATTTCGGGAAAATTTTCAAAAAATACGTAATGAAAATGAAGAATTAACAAGAAAATGTAATCAATTATCATTGGAAATTGAACGTCTACGACAAGAAGATTCTCGTGAAAAGGTATGTATTGATTGTTTGTTTTTTGTTGCCATTGTTGACCAAAGAGTTTTTTTTGCAATTTTTTGTTTTTAGGTTGCTGATGCTGGAGTGATTGCAACATTACAATCACAATTACAACAAACTGAATCTAATAATCTGGAATTGAAAACAAAACTAACCGATTTGGATGTTAAATATCGTAAAAGTGAACAAGATTTGGCTAATATCAAATCAAAATATAGCCAACAAACAACCGAACTAGAATCATTACGTAAAGAATTGGCTACAATAAATAAAAAATATGATGAATCGGAAAAACAATTAGAATCAATTCGTAATGAATTATCTTCTGTACAAACGATAAATCAACAATTAAAAAATCTTGCACGAAAATATAAATCACAATGTGAAAAACAACAACAACAACAACAATCTGGCTCGAAAGAAACACAACAACAACAACAGCTTGATCTGGAAAATAATAATGCATTAGAAATGCGTATTCAAAATCTGAATGATGAAAATGAAAAATTAAAAGAACAAATTTCACAGTTACAGATGGAAATTATTCAATGTCGACAACAAACAGAACAATCAAAACAAAAAGCTCGATCGATTGGACAACAAGCGAAAAATCGTCTATCAAATATGGAAAAATTATTGAATGAACGGGATAAGGAAATTAATTTTCTACGTTCAATCATATCGGATAAATCTAAAATAATAGATCCATCCAGTGTTGTTAATCAACAACCGATTGCCGGTTGTAGTCATAGTTCTGGTCAATCGGTTAGTTCAACAATTGTATCGGCTTCATCAAATCGTTTACATCAACAACAACCAAGTACATCTTCATCATCATCATCATCATCATCCACCACCTCTTCAACCTCTTCATCATCAACGACCATGACAATGACAAAAACAATGAATCAACAACGACATCATCAACCTTCATCTAGTTCAGGTAGCCAAAATGAAGATAATGATACTGATAATAATCGTTTACAATCAGCACAAATATCATCACATACAACATCAATGATGGATGATAATAGTATGGAATCATCATCATTAGCATCGACATCAACATCATCATTTTTTCCAACAACAAATATACCATCAACATCTTCATTATCATCATCGAATAATCATAAACGAAGAATTCAATCATTATCACCTGGTAATCAAGAACATCAAGAATTAGGCGTAAAGATTCTTTTAAAAAAGAAACGTATTGATAATATTATTGATAATATTAACAATATGAATTCTGAAAATTCTACTAATCAAACAATCAATATTCAACAACAGCCATTGAATTTAGATAATCAAAATGCAGATAATAATGATAATGATGATGATGATGAAGATGAAATGGAAGAAGCTGAACAATCATCACCACTTGTAATACAAGTTGATGATGATGATGATGATGATGATGAAGTAGAACAATCAATTAATGATGATCAAATTGATCATAATGAACAAGAACAGATTGTTGATCAATCACATCAACAATTAGAACCAGAAGAAGAAGATCATCATACTGAATCAAATGATGGTTCTTATCCGGAAGATACTGATGCATCATCAAGTAATAATAATAATAATAATCATGATCATGATAATAATGATGATAATAATAATCAATGAAAATTGTCAATGATGCTAAATAATAATGATGATGATGATGATTGTGTCCTTTTTCATATTGCCAGAATTATTTTTACCTTTTTTTACTTTTCGATTTGTAATACACACATTTTTTTTCGGATGATTATTATTATTATAACAAGAATTTTTTTTTAATTATAATAAAAGTGGTCAATAAAAAAAAGAAATTGTAGTTTTTTTTTACGGTTGAATAAATGATGAACAAAAATAACCTATTTTTTCAATACATATTAGATTTAGAAAAGGCGATAATAAGAAAGCAAGAAAAAAAGTTGACAACCTGGAAATTACATTTCCGCTAGATTTCTGTTTCTTTTGATCTGGAAAAATACAACAACAACAACCAAAAATATAATGATCACCAAGAATCGTTCAGTTTTGTTTTGTTTTGTTTTGTTTGTGATCCGAAAAGAAATCACTGGACTTATATTTAGTTAGATAAAACATTATTACCATCCGAATACAAAAAAGGTTAAAAAAAAAAAAAAAAAAGGAATTATATGTATGTTTTGGCTGAATTGTCGTGCTGCCTCTATAGTAAAGATGAAACTTTTATTCTTCGATTTTGATCGACTAAAACCAAAAAAAAAAAATGCTGTTTGAAATCGATCTTGAAAATATAGTCATATATCGATTACTTAATCGATATTACGATTGTCATGTCAAAAAATTTTTTTCCTGGTCGGATAAGATCTGAATATCGTTGTTATCACCATCATCATCACGATGATGAATCTTCCATCGAGGATTAGTTCTTCTTCTGAACTGAAAAAAAAGAAAAGTTTTTCAAGTTTTCCATAAAGATAATCATCATCGAGTTGATTATTGTGAATCATATTTGTTTCTTTTTTACGCTTTTAAAGTGTAAAACGAAAACTTTATGACAGTCGATGATGATGATGATGACAGAGAAGACTTCATCGATTCCAAAGAAAAAAAATCCACTCAATTTTTTTTCGATTTGAAATGACACAGAAAAAGCAACTGAAGAAAACTAAAGAAACAAACAATTCACATTGAACATCGATTCATCATTCATTCATTCATTTGCACATCTAGAGAGTACCGTTGTTGTTGTAAATGTTGAAACACATTTGTATTCCGATCGATCAAAATCGAACCAAAAATTTGGAAAATGGAATGGAAATTCTGTGAAAGATGCTGGTTTTGGTCGTTTTTTTGCCCATGTAGTTTTGTCAAGTTTTTTCGATCGGATTCGATGATGAAAATGTCCGAAAAAAATTTTGAAAATCTGAATTTTTGAACCTCGAATCCAGAAAATGATAATTCATTTTGTTTTGATGGTTTTTTTCTCGTTCAACACCGATAATTGATCATCAAATGATGATGATGATTACCCCATTGAATTCCAACAAAAATGTCAAACATACAGACAAAACGTGTGCATCATCAGTGTTATTATTATGAGAATTGGGATCGTAAATGATTGATGATTTTGTTCATTTACGATAGAGTTTTTGTTTGTTTGCGTGTAAATTGACATTGTCAAATCACATTTAACATTAATGATTTTCGAAACAACAACAACAACAACATTCCAAAACAAACAAACAGCAAAAAGATTGATTTTGTAGTTTGTAGTTTGTTTCTAATCGATAACATTTTTTCTGTTTTGTTTTTCAGTTGTAAAAAAACAAACAAAAAAAACGAAAATTCTCGAAATGAAAAATTTTCGTTTTTTTTTCTTCAAAAAATTTGATTCCATTTTTTTTCATCTTTATTAATAATATTTCCTGCTTGCTTTTCTTTTTTTCGTAAATAAATGTCACACACACACATAGACACATTCTTGAAAATTCAGGAAATTGAAAACAAAAAAATTCTTGAAAAATTTGAAAAAGAAGAAAATATCAAATTCCTAGCACATAGCATCATCACATTTATGGAATTTCAAATAGCTCAATTCGAATGTTTTTTGTTTGGTTTTGTTTCTGTTTTTGAGAAATTTTTTTTTTGTTTTTTGGAAAAATTTTTAATTCCCCGAACGATAATGACAAATTTCATCTAACCTAACCTCATTTTGGCCAATTGTAGTAAAGTTTTATTGGACCTAACTTGATTGAAAGAAAAAATTTATCATAGGAGAGATATGAGGAAAATAAGAAAAATTATCAATCAAAAAGGGGGGAAAGGAAAAAAATCATATGTATCTATCGTATGATGATAATATGTTTGTTAATGAAATGTATTCACATATCAAGAAACGAAAACAACAACAAAATGAAAGTGAAATTCATTCAGAGCATAAACATAGTAACATTAAATAAATGGCCTGTCTATGGTAAATCATCATTCATGTATGATATCCATTTTTTTGCTTCTATTTCTGTCGATAATCAACATGGAAAAAATACTTGAACAAAAAAAAAAGGATAAATCAACAAATTTATAAAGTTTCAAAAGTTTCAATTAAAAAAAATTGTTTTCCCTATGATTTTCTCCGAATTCTTTATATTGAAATTTTGGTGGATTTTCATTTTCATTTCGGAAAATTGTTTTGAAAATTGATATTTCGTAATCGCCATTTTCTTCTTGCCCTTGCATAATATTCAATCAATCAATCAATGAATCGTTATTGGTTTGTCATCATAAACGAAAAAAAAATGAATAGGTATTATAAATCCAGCAACAACAAACAACAAAAAAAACCATCAAAACCGTTTTATATATTTTTGACATTTCAAATATTGAAACGATTTCATTTCATTTCTGCTTAGTCAAGCAATAATAATAAAGATGTTTATGGTCCACATTTATGATTTTTTTCTTCTTCTTCGTCTTTCTTTCATTCAATGATGATGATTGAAATAAAAAGATTATCAACATTGATTTAATGTTGCTGAAACCAAAAAAAAAAAGTTTCTATTTTTTGCTGAATTTTGAATTTCTCTGTGTGTGCAAATGGCTACATTGACAACAACAACAACAAGAAAAAACCCAATGTAGCAAATGAAAAAAAAATACATCATCAAAATAAAAAAACTAATCAACCAAACTGGAAAAAAAGGATAGCATCCTGTGTTTTTTTTTCTTGGGTGCTCGGGATAAAAAACAATTTTTTGTTTTTTCTTCTTCACTATACTTCTGTTTGTTACTTTTTTTTTTGCATTTTATCATCATCAACATCAGTATCGAATCGAATTGAATTTGATCAGGATTTTTTTGTCACTGTTCTCGGAAATTTTGTTGATGCTTATTTGTTGTGTGTGTGTGAAGTGTTAATAGTGTTGTGCCTTTGAATATTGCTTCACTTGTGTTCCAATTTTACTACAAAAAAAATACCTGTTGCTAATTATCGTCGTTTTTATCAATCAACCAATCAATCAATTGATTTTCTCTGATTGATAATTATTATTATGATCAATATTTATTTGGCCATTCAAAATGGCCATAACAACAATTATCATCCACACAATAATGGTGGAATAAAGAATTTATTCCGGAAAATTTCTCTATTTTCCATAATATTTCTATTGATTTGCAATCCAATTATCGATTGCAGTAATCAATGGAATAATGATGTTAGTAATGGTAACAACAGTAGTAGTAGTAACAGTAATGAATATTCAATTACAAATTTTTTACCATCATTTTCAACATTATTATTTTGGCGACAACCAGAATCATCATTGAAAATTAATAATCAAAAACAATCTGTTCAACAACAACAACAACAACCAATTGTTACAAGAGAAATTCATCAACAACTACCTGCTATGAGTGCCGCTTTGGTTGATGATGATCGTCATTCATCAAATAACGATCAAGATTTGATCATTAATACATCACCATCACCGCCATCAACAATGATTGTAACCAATTCAAATCGTAATCGTTATTGTCATAGCTGTTCAAATGGTGATTATATGTATCAAGATAATGATGAAGAATACCGACAACGTATTGAATTTATAAAAGTACAAATTCTAAATAAACTTGGTCTAAAAGAACCACCAAAATTCGCTAATCAACCTGATATTGATCTAATCAATATGTGTATGTATTTAAAAAAAAAATCTTGTTTCCTTATTATTGTTTTATCTGTTTGGATATTTGATTTTTTCTCTTGTCCTTGAAAAGATATGCGAATTGTTGGCCAAACACAATCAACAAAACGTAATGCTGATAATTATAATGAACAAGATGATGATGATGATGAACAACAAAAACAAATTGAAAACCCCATTAATCGAAAAAATATTGATCAAAATACACAGATTATATACATTTTACCAAAACATTATCAATATTATCATTTAAAATCACCAATATTTGATTTAACATCAATTAATCAACAACAACAACAACAACAATCAAATGATAATTTAATGTTTATAAAATCGATTATAATTTTAGTTAAATATAGTAATTTTGATTTGAATACAAATACAAATAATATTACAATTGATCAATCGTTGTTAGATTTAACAATATCATCTGTATCTGGTTTGATTGAATTAAAACGTAATGCTGTCATTAATTCCAATGATAATAATGGTAATCGTAATGGTAATGATGAAATTTTTGATTTGATCAGCATTGTTTCACCAACATCTCGTATAGCAAAAACAACAACAACTATTGAACAACAACAACAACAACAACAAAATGAAGAATCAACCACATACGAATATGATGTGACCAATTTATTGTTGAACAACAACAACAACAACAACAACAATGTTGTTGATAGTGGTGATAGTGATGATAATAATCGTATTCGAATGTCATTGTTATACGACATGATACGAATTTACAATGAAAATTTTGATATAAAAAGCTCATTTATTAAAGTTGAAATGACCAATGTCAACAATAATAAGGTATGATGATTTTTGGCTGTTTTTGTTTGGTTTTGTTTTTTTTTGTTGACATATTTTTTCTCTCTCCCAAAAAATACATTTTCTTTTTTTTTTGTTCCATTTTTTTTTTGTTCATGGCTTGGTTCTTGCTAAATATCATTTGTCATTGCCATTTCAAAAACATCTTTGACACGCAATTTTTCTCTTTTAACCCACCCGCCAATCTTTCCACAACCAAAAATTTAAAAAAAAAACAACCAGGCACAACGAGTAAAACGTAGTGTTGATTGTACAGATAAAATATCATTCTGTTGTCGACAACCATTTTATGTTAATTTCACTACAATCGGTATGTGTCAATCATATTTTTTCCCATTTTCATTTTCATGAATATCACATTAACCTGAATGAATTTTTTTTTTTAAATTTTTTATTTTTTAACAAATTTCAACATATTTCAAAATGGCAAACTTTTCTGACTTTAACCCTTCCATCATCATCAACACTGTCATTTTTTTTATACCCAACCGTCAATGCTGCCGGGCAAATGAATAATGTTTTTTTTTCTCTCGGTGGAAAATAAAACTTTTCGCTTGCTGTTATGGAATTTCATATCATGAATTTTTTTAAAAAATGTCAACCAAAAAACCTTCATTCATTCTCTATGTGGCAATCATTGATATCAACAACAACAACAACAACGAAAATGAAATGAAATGAATGACAATCATTTTCATCATTGGCCAAAAAAAAAATTCTCACCCAAAAAACCCAAAATCTATGCACAAACAAACAAACACAACGCACACGGAATATTGACATTTTTTTATTTTCTTTCTCTTTGCATAAGGATGGAACAATTGGATTCTACATCCACTTGGATATAATGGAAACTATTGTAAAGGTATGTTGTTGTCGATGTTGATGATGTTTTTCATACAATTTTTTTCTACTGAATTTTTTTTGTTCGTTTTCACTGAAGAATTCACACGGGACATTCATGGAAGAATATAGTTGCAAGCAGGGAAAGAAAAAAAAATTCAAAATGTGTGTGTGTGCGTTTGTCATATTTTTCTCCCGTTGATTATGATGATGATGTTTAGCATCCATTCTTTTTTTTTTTTTTTTTTTTTTTTTTTTTTTTTTTTTTTTTA